AGACATTTCTAAGAAAGAAAGAAAGAAAGAAAGAAAGAAAGAAAGAAAGAAAGAAGTTTCTCCCAGAGGACACATACTGTTCCTATTAACTCCTGTGAAAATGGTGATGGCAGCTGCCAGCCCCATGAGGTCATCCTTCAGGCTTGGACGGAGAACGTAGCTCTGAACCCCCCCATCGACCCCCAAGCCAACGCAGGGAGGAGCAGAGACTGATTGGAAGAAAAACAGAGTGTGTGTGAGCACAATTTATCTCYACAACAATGTGCAGACTTTGTAATTAAATCAACCGTGAACCTGGATAAACCCGTTTTCCCCTTTTGGAGTATCCAGCAGCAGCCATGTGGATCCAGACTGGATGCTGCTCACCACAGGGCAGCTCTGGGGTCTGTTTGTGGTTTCTGTTGCACAACAAAAGCCACCACCAACCTGTTAGCAATCAGACCCATTGGTTTATTAAATGTGTTTAATAAAAGATAAAAAAAAAAAAAACCTAATTCATTCCCACATTAAGTGAAGTGGTGTTCAGGCCAGACCAGAGTAGCAATCTTCATCCTGTTAAGTCATCATTTTCAGTCAATCATAGAGGTCAGTCTAAGGTAGAATCTGGGAAAATGTTTTCTTTTAGTACAAAGGAGGAGGAACCAAATAAACTGTAATAAATCTTACAAAAATGTAAATTATATTTCATTCGCTGACCTAAAAATTGACCTCATGCTGCTTCCTTTTGATAAATGGTCCCTGCATTTTGGGAATAAAAGGTTTAAGAGTGTCATGCCTGCATGTTGATAAAGCAGTTGTTTTTATGCTGTTTTTTGTTGGTGCTGAATGACCAAGAATGGCACCAACACTTTGGGCCACACTGGTAGCCCTCCGATACTTTCCACTATTTTCCACGGAGTCAACAGACGATAAGTTCTCAGATGGTGAGAAGATTAATACCACTTTCAAATCTGTCTGCTGAAGGCACAGCTGCAGCCAGGAGTCAGTTAGCTTAGTTTAACATAAATACTGGAAACTGGGGAATCATCCAGGCCGGTTCGGTCCAAAGGTAACAGTATCTGCTCAAGGGCAGAGCAAAAAGCTCCTGGTCTCTCCAGTCGATGCAAAAAAAAAAAAAAAAAAAAAAAAAAAAAAAAAAAACAACAATGTCAGGTGAACTATTTGTTTTAAGTCAAAGGGAAAAAAACTGAACATTTTGATTTATTAAAGTTATTATTTTCAGACATAAAATAAGTATGACGGTCTTAATTCAGAAGAAAACTGGCAAAAAAATTCATATTCCTTCACTTGAAATCACGCAGAGCAGAAATTAAGTCCAACATTATGTCTGTCAAAAATGTTACAATGAAACTTTAAGGTCAAGTGGAGCAAATCACAAAGCTCACGTGGATCTCTGCAGCTCTTTTTATTTTTTATTTTAGAAAATAGATCGTTCTTTAACGATTTTTCTCTGGTGGAATGCAAAACCCAGATTTCTGATGCTGCATAAGGAAGAATCTTCTTTTTTAT